CCCTGCCCTGTCCTTCCCATGAGAGCCCGCCCCGCCTCTGCCAAGGTCTTGGACCTGGCCATTTCCCAGCAAGGAGAAAATAGCAAGAAAAACAGATGGGAGCTGATAGCCTGTGCTGCAGGGTCTGCTGGGACGTGGTCCTGGAGGAGCCCCAGGAAAGCTTTAACCCCGGGGCTCCAGGCAGGCGGAAGTACCAGGGAAGAGGAGGGGAGGGCGCACCCTACAAGCTGCCCCCTTCCCTACCCGAGACCTACTCTCTCTTGGTAGGCCCTGATGGTCTTCAGGCTGAGCAGCAGCCCCAGGGTCCCGTGGTGCACCCCGGTCGCAAGCAGGTGTCTTCTTCCAACAGCTCCCCCCCCCCCGCCCACACACTGCCCCTATAAAGTCCCCAGGCCAGGGACCATCCACACCTGAAGTTTCACAGTTGGCCTGGGGTGCTGGAGGACTGAAGCCAGACTACATTTGGAGTCTAAAGCTCTAGGGAATTCTGCTATCTGCTACGCTGGCTCACAGGTGGCCGTGGTCACCTGAGTTATGACCTGGACAGGGCTTTGTCTGTGAAAAATGTGATGCCAACCAGAGAAGTGCTGGACAGTGGGGAGGGCAGGAAGCAGCCCTCCCCTTCCTCCCACTGCTGGAGCCCCCTTGGTCCTGGCCCGGCCCTCCACATGGTAACACCAAGGCAGTGTCCTGTAGAAGGGCCCACGTTCCTCTGGTCTCTCCCAGAACACTACCCTCCTTGTCATCTTCTTTGCTTTACTTCTTTGAAAGGCAGTGAGATGGAGAGGAAGAGAGATACAGAGAGAAAGCCATCTTCCATCCTCTGGTTCATGCCCCAAATGGCCACAATGATTGGGGCTGGGCCAAGCTAAAGCCAGGATTCCAGAACTCCATCTGGGTCTCCCACATGAGTGGCAGGGGCACAGGTACTTGGTCCATCTTCTGCTGCCTCCCAGGATGCCTTAGCAGGAAGCTGCATCAAAAGTGGAGCAGCCACGACTCAAACGGGGGCTCCTGTATGGGATGCAGGTACTGGGGCTGCAGCTCAGCCTGCCCTGCCCGGAACTCCTTTGGTGGCATTTGTGTGCTCTGCTCTGTGTGAGAGAATGAGCTTGTCAACAACAGGTTCTGAGCAAGGGATTAGAACAGCCCTGCGTCTATGTTGGCTGAGCACACAGAGGTCTCAGAGTTGTCACAGGAGCGAGTGGGTGTGGGGGAGTGGTGGGGCAGAGATAGAGTGGTATCAGCAGCTCGTGGCTCCCGGAGCATCTGCCCTTGGCCGTGTCCTTGGGTCCTCAGACAGCAAAGCAAGTCTTGTTTTCCAGAGCAGGGCAGGGGCTGGGGGTGGTGGGGACATGTTGAGCTGACTAGTGGCAGACCCGGTTCCAGAGGTCCCTGTTGGTGCTGGAGGCCGTGTCTGGCTTCTCCCACCCTGCAGATTGTCACCCTTCTGCCCACCCCACAGCTGCACAGAGCAGGAGGGCTAAGAGTGAGGCTTTGTAACCCCGCTGGGACCATTGACCAGGGTGCCAGGGACCTCATGCCCCATCACCAGGAGGAGAAAGCCACCCATTCTGCAGGCTGGGGACTGGGAAATCAGGACGCAGCTCCCCTGTCCTGCGGCTCAGGAGTGAGGCAGGACACTCTGTCCACCTCCAGACACCCCCAAGGCTGTCCTGGAAAATAACAACTGGGCACGCTCTGATGTTCTGTTTTGCAGCCGCTTCTGTGTGTAGAGCCAGGTGGCCCCAGCCCTTGGCACTCCCTCCAAGACCAGTGTGTGTGGGCAGAGGATGCGATGGTGCTAGTCGTGCTGGCCTAGAGGGAAGCAGGCAGCCCATGAGACAGAGAAGAACTCAGGCTTCTGGGAGGGGAGGGGCCAGCCCTGATGTTTCCGTCTTGTCTGTGGATGCTAATGGGGAAGCCCTGCCCCCTGGCAGCTTCTTATGGATGCATGATGGTCTGCATTGGTCTGTGTGCTTCCTGACTTTCCTGTGTGAGCAGAGAACAATGCCTACCGCACCGAGCACTTGACAAGTGTTTGCTGAGCTTGCACAAATACATGGAAGATTCTAACATGCTGCAGAGGCTTGGTGAACATCATTTTTCTCTCCTGAGAATCATTCCTGGTCAGCACAAGGGCATAGAGCTGGCTATTTCATTTTTATTATATGTTTTATTTATTTATTTGTAAGGCAGTGATGGGGAGGGGGAGAAAGACTAAGAGAGGGTACTTTTATCTGCTGGTTTACTTCCCAAAATGGCCACAATAGCCAGGGCTGGACCAAACCGAACCAGGAGCCTGGGACACCAGCCTGGTCTTCCACGTGGGTGCATGAGCTCCAAGATGTGGGCTGTCCTCCACTGCTTTCCCAGGAGCATTAGCAGGAAGCTGGTTGAGAAGTGGAATAGCCAGGACTTGAAGCAGTGCTCATATAAGTTGCTGGCTGCCTATGCTGGTTCAATGTGCTATGCCACACACAGACCCCACCAAAGGGTGGTTCTTGACATCTACCTGTTAGGGTAATGGGAGCAAAGATGGAGGTGGAGATGGGGCACTGGTATGGGCGGGGCAGATGGGATGCGGTTCAAAGAATAGGGGTGCAGGAAGGTTTGCTTGGGACACATGTGTGGCTGGCCCCAGGGGAGTAGGGGCTGCTAATCCCCTGGCTGCTTTAGGCAGGATAGAAAGGTGAGGAAGCCAGGGGCAGTGCTGTCAGCTTCTGCCAGTCCTGGACCACTCACAGGGCTGAACCAAGTCTCATTTCCTCATCTGTGAAATGGGCCAGTGCTTTCAGTGCCCAGAAGGGGCTATGGCCAGGCTGCAATGGGATGAGTGACAGAGGGTGTGCCCCGCATAATGTGAGTGACTTTCTCTTGGTTCTGAAAGTGGCTCCTGAGTTACCATTCATTTGGGGTCCATTTCCATGCAGAAGAAACGAGCCAGTGCAGCACCCTATATCTGAGGTGCTGTACACACACCCCCCCCCCACCTGCACACAATGCCTTTCCCACTCACTGGGCCCAGATGGGGAGGGGACCTTCTCTCAGGGGTCAGGTGAGGCTCCCCAGGGACCATTCCCAGGTGACTGGGGGTGGCGGTGCCTCACCCTCTGCCCTCCTCATCCGCAGGTACAAGACGGTGGTGACCCCACGGAGGGCAGCGGTGGCCATCGCCGGCTGCTGGCTCCTGTCTCTTGTGGTGGGGCTGACCCCCATGTTCGGCTGGAATAACCTGCAGGAGGTGGAGCAGGCGTGGGTGGCCAACGGCAGCGTTGGGGAGCCGGTGATCAAGTGCGAGTTTGAAAAGGTCATCAGCATGGAGTACATGGTGTACTTCAACTTCTTCGTGTGGGTGCTGCCCCCGCTGCTGCTCATGGCCCTCATCTACCTGGAGGTGTTTTACCTGATCCGCCGGCAGCTCAACAAGAAGGTGTCGGCCTCGGCTGGTGATCCGCAGAAGTACTATGGCAAGGAGCTCAAGATCGCCAAGTCACTGGCCCTCATCCTCTTCCTCTTCGCCCTCAGCTGGCTGCCGCTGCACATCCTGAACTGTATCACCCTCTTCTGTCCCACCTGCCACAAGCCCAGTGTCCTTGTCTACACCGCCATCTTCCTCACACACGGCAACTCGGCCATGAACCCCATCGTTTATGCCTTCCGCATCCACAAGTTCCGCGTCACCTTTCTTAAGATCTGGAACGACCACTTCCGCTGCCGGCCCGCGCCGCCTGCGGTCGCAGCCGCCACTGCTGCCGAGGACCTACCAGACGAGCAGGAGGGGAAGCCCAAGGACTAGGCACTGCCTGCCCTCTGCTCCCCCACCTGAGCTGTGGAGGCCCCAAAGAGAGATGGAGGCTGGGGAATGGGGTGCTTCTCCCAGGAGTACACCCCTGCACCCTAGGGTCCTGGGGACGTGGTGGGGAGGGAACCTGCAGCCTGGGCCAAGAGCAGGGTCTTGAGCACCGTCCCCTTCTTCTGGGGACTGAGCAGGGCCCTGTGGAGGCCAAGAGTACAGAGGGACTGATGGGTTTTTTCCTGAAGGGGGTCCGGTACATAGGAGGGGCGTGTCTTGGCCTTGCTTTCTCCCTTCCTCTGTGGGAGGAGGCAGCCAGAAGCAGCTAAGGGTCAGTAATCAAAGAATCTCTGTCCCTACCTCAAAGGGACTCTGCACAAGGAAGCCCAGGATTGCACCTGGCAGGGGCAGAAAGAGTGGGTCCAAAAGTTGTTTCTGACCTTAGCTTTTATTCTCCATCAGCCCTTGAACTAGGGGCAGGGTTCGCACCTCCCCATTGTCCCACCCCTCAAACCCCTCCCCCAAACACATACACACAAACACACTAGGAGTGTGGAGTGCTGGGTGCTGGCCTCACACAACCACTAGGCGGCAGCACCAAGCCCTCCTTGCTCTACTGTCCCCTGGAGGAGCCTGGCCCCAGTGGGAGTGCCATGGGGGAGTGTGGTGGTTTGTGCAACCCAGTGCTCACTGGAGCTGTCGTGGGGGGACAAGTGGCAGGCTGGAACCAGCTGGAGGAGACCATTCATGAGAAATGCTGGGGATCAGTTGTGGCTCAGTGTGGAACCTTTAGGGGTCTGGGGGAAGCCTGGCCTGAGACACCCTTTCTGGCGCACACGATTGTGGGGGGGAGGGTATCAGGCCTTCCTTCTGTCGGGGACTGGGTGGGAGGCTGCAGGACTAATAAAAGGCTAGACCCTGGTAGTGAGCATGGCGCTAACGCTGTCAGGGATGTGGGGGAGCAGTGGGATTGGGGGAGAGATGCGGAGGCTGCAGGAGCCCAGGGTTCCCTCCAGGGTGTGTCTGTTGCTATGGTTACACAGGCACCTAGGGTGAATCAGACAGCAAGAGTCTAAACACTCACACATCAGGGAAAGTCCCCGTAAGACCCAGAGCTCCCTTCACTGGCTCCCTCACAAGGATGCCGGACGGCGCCCCAGGTGACTCCACACTTCATGGTCAGAGGCCCCTGGCTGCAACCACAAGCCTTTATTTGATGCTTCTTGCCCAGTGCACAGCCCCGTGCCCACTTCAGCTCCTGCACATTTCTGGTCTTTTCCACCCTGGAAGCATGCTCCCGGGGGGCTCGCTATGCCCACCTGTAACTTCTGGGCTCCAGCCAGGGCAGGCGGAGCCAGCGGCAGCAGAGGGAAGCCACGGCTGTGAAAGTGGGAGTCTGGGGTCTTGGTGAAGTTGGATCCTCAGGCTGCAGCACCTGCTGGAGAAGGTGCTTCCTGAGCCCTGGTGCGGGGTGGAGCGTGGCTGCTGCCAGAGGTGCGGGGCGGTGAGGGGGTTGGGGAGGAGAAGGAAAGAGGGGTGCAGCAGGTGGAACGCAGCACCTTCCACTCTCCCAGGGCCTCCCTCCCTAGCCTGCCCTGCAGTACTACACGCTTCCTTATGCAACGCTGAAGAATGCCAGGGAAGGGGTAGGGGCTCCGTATCCCTACCTCTATGTAAAGTCACTCAGCATGGCCTGGCTCTGCAATGTCACCGTGCTTTTCCACACTGGTGCACTAGCTGCCCGTGCCTGCACATTTGCATCCTGAGCTGACCGTCCCCCTCCCAGCCCAGCCCCTGTTTAGAGGGAGCAGGGGTGGGGGCCCAGCCAGTCACCTGCCTTGTAGGCACGGCTTCCTCCCACCGTGGCTCTTCAGTGTGTGGCTGAGGCTGCAAGAGACCTGCAGGTTAGAGCTTGGCTAGGGGAGGAGGGGAGGAAGGGGGGAGTTACCAGGTGGGAGGATGGGGGAAGGGAACCGCAGAGGGTCATGGCTACACGCCTCTCCCCACACTCCTGGCCTTCACTCTCCTGTCCTCCTGCCTTGGATTTTCAGCTGCATCTAGTTCAAGTTCTCCTGTTCTCCTGATGCTCTCCAGCTCACCTTTGACCTCCAGCCGGCATTCCACCGAGGCCTCGCCCAGCACGTTGACCGCCTTGCAGGTGTAGACGCCAGAGTCAAAAGGGCTAGGCTTACGAATCTCCAGGGTGCAGATCCCCTGCTCGGAGATGGCTCGGTACTTGGGATCGCCCTGGATGTCCATCTTGTTCTTCATCCAAATGATCTTGGGCTGGGTGGAGTCATGGTCAGGGCAGAGCTGGGATGCCAGCCTCGGGGTGGGGTAGACAGGCCTGGGTGATGCCCCCACCCCTGCACTCCTCTAACTCCTCACCTTGGGTGACGCTCGGACACTACAGAAGAGTTGAGTGCTGTAGCCCGGTGTGGAGGTGTGGTCAGCCAGGGGCTGTGTGAATGAAGGGGCTTCTGAGAAGTCTCGCTCGACAAACCCTTTGGGTTTGGCTACAATACCTGGGTTTGGAGAGAAAATGGGGGCAGCTCTGAGGGTGTAGAAATGGGGGCACCCTAAGAAACTCCTCATCTAAGCTTGCAGGGGAATTTCAGGGAGCATGCCTTTCAGAGGCCCGGGATGGGGAATGGAGTGGGTAGGCCAGCGGCTGGCCTGGTGGCAGTCTGTGTCCTGGCACAGTCTGTGTCTGGCTGGCTTTTTTTTTACTTTTCTAAATGAAAACTTTGAATTCTGTGCAGCACAAGACGGTGTTAAAAAGAAGGTATCTGGTGGAGCCTGCAGGACATTGGGGACCAAGACCTGGGACTTAGTGCTGGATGCAGGGGTGCCTGGCACCTGCTGAGATGGACAAGAGCATCCCTCTCCTGTTTGATCGGCCAGCCAGCTGCGTTTTCTCTGGACCCAGAACTCTGTGCTTCCAGCAAACAGCCCTGAGGCTGCCTGGCCGTGTGCATCAAGATCTCCTGGGATGCAGTGGTTGTGTGGGGCTGGCAGAACCAGTGCACAGCTTCCTGCTCATTTGCATGGGTCTGCTGTGCTGCGTTTGCTGAAATCCGTCAGCTGCATCCATTACTTCGATTTCAAGCCTGTGTGTGTGTGTGTGTGTGTGTGTGTGTGTGTGTACGCGCACGCGTGCGCACGCACCCACACACCCCTGCTGTGAGGCGGGAGGGCAGCAGATATCCCTGGGAGCGGGCACCCAGGAGAAGCCACAGAGCCGTGGTGACCCTGGGGAATGCTGGCCCACCCACCTGCCTTCTGGATGTGCGCCAGCTCCTTGGTGACTGTGGCTGAGTCACTGAGGCCACACAGGTTTTCGGAGAAGACCCGGAAGGAGTAAGAGTTGCCAACGATGAGATCGGAGATGGTGCAGGTGGTGGGGTGGTAGCGTTCCAGCACCGTGAACCATTGCTGTGGGGACAGAGCAGCTGGTCACCCTTGCCTGGCTTCTCCCTCCCTGCCAATCAGCAGCCCCCTCCTCAGCGGCGCTTGCTCACTCCATGCCCCAACCTGGGGGACCTGGGTCAGCCGGGGGCCTTAGAGAATCTGCAGCCTCAGCTTCTCTTAGAAGGGCAGGCGCTCAGCCCCTGAGCAAGGCTCCATGTGTTCATTTCCATACACAGGAAACTTCCAGAGCATGAACAGAGGAGGGGGTAGCAGCTCAGAGAAGGGGCTGGTCCTGGCCGGGGCCCCGCAGGGAGTCAGAGTGGTGGTCCTTAGCATCCCCAGCAGGCGGGTCCCTCGTCTCCGACTTCACCTGCCACACGGCTCACCCCTGTCTTCTTGTCTGCCTTCTGCACCGTGTACCCAAGGAGTTCTGTGTTGCCCGTGTCCTGGGGTGGGCTCCACTCAAGAGCGGCATTACAGCCCCACACATCTAGGAGCTTGATGCTGCTGGGGGGCCCAGGTTTCTCTGCAGGACCAGAGGGCAAGGCATGGGTGTCAGCACCCGGCAGGCCTGCCTCCCGGTCCTCACAGCCTGATGTGGTTCCTGCCAGGCCCCATGGGCCATGCCCCACTCTCCCTGCCAAGCTGGGTGCTCCTGCACCCTGGCCCCCTTACCAATCACCAGGATGTCGATGGCTGCCTTGGCCTCCAGGTCTTCCAGCCGCACAGTGAGCTCATAGCGGCCCGAGTCACAGCGCTGGGCCGAGCGGATGAAGAGGATGGAGTCCTGCTCGCCGCTGCGCACATTCACGCGCTGCGTGTCCAGGGCGTGGCCATCATGGGTCCAGGAGGCCTGGGGCTTGGGCTTGCCCTGATGGAGAGCAAGCCGCAGGGTGAATGCAGGCAGGGGCCCACAGCCCCGGAAAGAGGGCAGACCTGCCTCCCCTACTACCCTCATCTTCTCAGCCTCTGACCACTGAGTCACATGCCCAGTTGAGAGTGCACGAGGCCACCCTGGTGGATCCCAGGTAGGCCCCCATGGGGGTCCTGACACTCCCCAGGCTCCCTGCAGGGACCCACCTGAAAGGGGATCTGCAGGTTGATGGCTTCTCCCACGCGGCGGATGTAGGTCTGACGGAGGTGGCGGGGGACGCGGATCTTGGGGGCCTCTGCATCAGAACGAGAGTCCAGGCTTAGCACAGCAGTGGGGCAGCTGGGGAGGACAGTTGGCTGGCAGGTGGCAGGCGGCCTTGGTATGTCCTGGCTGCCTCCCCATGGGGAAAGGCGGAGTTCTCACTGCTCCAGATCTAGAGGACCCCATCCCCATGAGGTCTTCAGGGAGCTGAGAAATGAGAGGTTGCTGGCAGGACAGGGCCACCGTGGTGTGAACTGGTAGGCATTTTGGGCACTGCCTTCTTGGTACCTTGACCTGGCTAGGCTGAGATTTGCCTGCAAATCCCCAGACTCCAGATGGGGCCGACAACCTCTCGGTCTCCCCCTGGTGGGGAGCGGGCAGTTCACCTGTTGCACTGCTGGGAAAAGGCAGCCTAGTCTTTCTCCTAGGAAACCAGCACAAGATACCTGACACCACCTCAGAACAGGACTTTCTGGGAACCCTCTTTGCCCACCCCTCCTAGGTCCTACTGGGAGGATTCTGGGGTTTTCCTTATGTACTCCTCCCACAATCTTTCCATCTTGCTGCTGGCAGGTCGTTCTTGGACTTGTCAGCCCCCTGCTAGACAACCACCTTCTCACACATCTAGCCAGGTGCACTCACTAAGCATTGCCAGTGAGGCTGCCTCAGCAGCTGCCCTTCCCCCTGGGTGGGTGCTGGAGCCAGGACTGGGGCTCCTCTGTGGCAAACAGGTGGCAGCAGTTGGCTGGTGGCATGCAGAACGCGGAGGAGACAGTGAGAAGGGACACTGTGTCTCCAAGGATTAGCTGAGCGGGCACTGGGCTCTGGAGCCTCGGGCTTGGAATGCTTCAAGGGCAGCTGCAGGGGGCCAGGAATGCTTGGCAGCCCCAGGTGGCCGGGAGGGACAGCTGTCCCGGGAGGCTCCTGGACAGGGCCCTGCCCCACCCTGTCCTGAGGGGCCTGGCTGTTCTTTACTTGCTCTGGGCCTCCTCAGCCCCTTCTCTCCAGGAAATCCCTTCTTGTCCTGCCAGAGGCACCTGCATGGAGCAAAGAGCGTGGAGCTGGCCCCCTTCAGCAGTGATGCACCCCGGGGGACATCTCTGAGGCTGAGCTCCCTGGGGTCCTTTGGTGATGGATGGGGGGACCTGTGGTGAGGTGCAGGATGCTGCAGGCCACCGCCAGGCCAGCCAGGCAGCTGTAGTTGCTGCCACCAGGGTGGAGGTTGCATCTCATCCGGAATGTGCAGGCTTTGGAACCCCAGGCCTGGCCTAGGAGGGCTAGGGGCAAGCATGGGCTCCTGGGGACCTGCTTGGTCTGGCTACCATGATCCCTGAGTCTCAAACTTGAACCCAAACTCAACCCCATTCTGTAGTCTCAACACTTTCTCCTAGAGGTCTCTCTAGACCCCTGGAGGTAGGGTTCTGTCCCCCAGCTCTGCTGAGAACTGGCTGAGGCAGAAGGTGGAGAAAGCTCCAGGCCACCTGCTTGTCCATGTCTCTTCTCACCCTGGGGCCCCATGCTGTCTCTAGAGACGCAAGATCGGACCCAGTGACTCACCGCCATTAACAGACCGAAACCTGACCAGCCCTGGCAGGGGAATGGGGGCGGGTTTGAGGCTAATACACCCTGCAAATAGAAATATTAGCCACAGGGACAGCAGCTGGCCTCCAGTGGCCAGTGGGTGCTGCCTTGTGAGGATGGAGAAGTTATGTGGCCATTCTGCATTCTGCGGCCTTTTCTTCTTCTTCCCGCCAGGGTCACGTTGTGAGCAGGGCCTTCTTGCTGCTGCAGACCCCGAGGGGAGGTGGGGACCCATGGGGCCCAGGACATTCCCCTGGTGCTGCTAAGGACTGAAGATCAGACAGGAGGGAGTACAGAAAGGTCATCGAACCTGGGTCCCAGGGACCTGGAGCTTCTGTTGGTGGCCATGGCAAAGCCCCTCCCCCAGGCTTGGCCCACTCAGCTCCAGAGGGCCCTGGCTGCCTGGGAAGCAGGACCTCCCTACAAGCAGGTGTGTGTGAGTGTGGCGAGGCGGGCTTGCCTTCCAGCAGGTGAGAGCTGGGCAGCAAGATGACGAGGGGCTTTACCGATGGTCTCCAGGATGTGGACAGGCTGTTCCAGCACGGCCGGCGGGCCAGCACCCGCCCGGCTCACGGCAGTCACGCGCAGGATGAACTTGTCCCCCAGGGCTAGGTTCCGCATCGTCTGCTGGGTCACCATCAGGGGCCGGGCATTCACAGGTACCCACTCTGAGGCTGGGCAGGAGGGCAGAGAGAGGGGGTGGGGAGGGTATGAGGCCTTGTCCGTGGGCTTTGCCTTCTTGCTGGTTGTCTGGGAACACTGACCCCCCATCTATGGGTCTGTCTCCCCCTTGCCATGCCCACCCCAACTTCTGAGTTCCCAGCAGCATCAGAGACACATCATGGCCTTATAGTAGTGGCCAGAGGTGAGAAGGACGAAGCCAGAGAGGGCTGGATACATTTGCAAAGTCACACAGCGAGGTTGGGGGGCCTCGCCATGCCTCCTCATTCTCTCATGGCCTGTCCCTCTATAAGTGGGGTCTTTTGATGCATAGCTGACTATCAGAGGTCCCTGGTGGGGCAAGAGGGGCAGGGATGGATGCCTCCCCATCTTCTGTGACTCCCTGAGCAGCCCCAGTGCCCAGCCCCTCTCCTCACCACCCAGTACTCACCTCCTTCCCGGCGGAATTCCAGCACATAACCCTGGAGCCCCAGCTTTCCCAGGCGCTCTGGGGGCTCCCAGCTCACGGTCACTGAGCTGCTGCTCACATCCTCCAAGGCCAGCCGCAGGGGGGCGCTGGGAACATCTGTGCGGGAAGTCAAGGTGAGCTCAGGAGCCCCCTCCTCTCCTTATTCCTGTCCCCCGCCCCGCCCCGCGCCACCCCTGGTCACCTTCACTGAGGGGGGCAGGTTTTGTGGCTGCAGGGGCTTCTGCAGGGGCCGCGGGGGCCTCAGGGGTAGGTTCCTGAGAGACAGGGTCCTGCAGCTGTGGGGGCTGCTCCTCCGACGCTGCTGCTGCTGCTGCTGCTGCAGACTCAGTGCTGGGCGCCTTGGCAGACTCAGCCGTTGCCTCCTCCGTGCTGGGGGCAGGGGTCTCAGAGGCGGCTTTTCCCGTCATTGCTGGGCAGGCTGGGGCTCGCACTGCTGTGAGCAGGGTCGGTGTGGAGGGCCTGGGGCTCCAGGATGCCTGGGCCACCTCGGTCTGGGTTTATATAGCTAGGGGCTGCCCCGCCCCCTGCCAACGATTCTCAGCTGTGGGGTCAGGTCAGGTGGGGGGCTGGGAGCAAGGCGTCCAGGCTAGGAATAGATCTGGGGGAGGAAGCGCACAGGCCCCTTGAGGCGCTCACTCCCTTGTCCAGCACCCTGGCTGTGCCTGGCCACCAGAGTGCCGCTGCCCGGGCAGTGGGGGAGGGCGTGTATGGGAGAGCTGGGACTTGGCTGGGGGCCGGTGCCAGGTGACAGGGCTGTGGGGAGAGTGTCCATCTGGGGACGGAGACCAGACTGAACTCTGAGTGTCTCTGGGGCCACCTGTTTCCGGGGCTTCTCACACCAGGGAGTGGGGCTCAGAGTCCCCCGACACATTTCCCTGGGGTCTGCAGGCCTCTAGGACTCTCCCCTGTGCTGTGTGAGGTTGAGGGAGTGGGGTGGGGTTCTGCAGGACACCAGGGGCTGAGGGTGTCAGGAAGAGTGGGCATCTCGGAGCTCACGGTTGAGCACATTGCCTGTGGCAGGGAAGGGTCTGTGGGTTCTGCCACAGCATGGCAGGTGCACAGGACAAGGGGCATCAGGAACCTGCCCTGCCAGAATGCACCTGCTCCAAGTTTCAGTGACCTTGGTGCAGTCAGGAGGGGCGTACTCCACGGCCCGATCACCTACTGACGGCCTCACTTCTTACTGCCACTGCCTGGGTTCATGGTCAGCCTTCTTTGGTTTCCCTTTGGTACACAGAACCCTTTGCCCTGGGGGTTGGGACAAATTGGAGGTGGATCTTGGAAAGGCACTACTGCTGGAAAACAGCTTTCAGAATCTTCTAGATTCTTTGAAGCATTGTGTGGGTGGGAGCGTTCCCAGTATAGGGCAAATGAGACATCTAGACATGGATTGAATAAAACATTAGCCCAGGTCATGCCTTGAAAAACCACAACAGTAAGAAGTTACAACCATTTTGCAGGCATGACAGTCCTGACAGGGCTGATGGGTCTGCTTGGCAGCACCCCAGCACCACCCCCAAATGCCCACTTCTGTGCCCTAGGAGGTAGGGAGGGGAATGTGTGCAGTAGGGCAACCCCGAGCTCTGGGGGACACGGCTGGCTCCAGTGGAAGCATAGAGAAATGACCGGCATCTTTGTAAACCTTAAAGTGAAATACAAGGTGAAGAGGGCTGGGCATGGGGTAATGCATGAGACTGCACGGCCCTCCTGGGCAGCAGAAGGAGCAAGCCACGCAGAAATGCTGTCCTCTCGTGGGCTGGAAGCTTGTTCAAGATGCAGTGAGCTCGCTGCACCCAGGGATGCCAGTTGTGGCCAAGTCAGACGGAAAGTCAGGTGATGATCAAAACAGAAGATGGGGTGGGGGTGGCCTACAGAGGTGGGATAGGGGTGTGTCCTCGAGGTGTACTCAGGAGAGACTTGCTGTTCTGAGTGGAGGCCGCACAGGTGTTCCCTCAGTGATGATTCATATCTGACATATTCCTTCCAAGCATATGTCTGTCAGTTTCAGAATCAACAGTCCTGTCATTTCTTTAGCAATAGATAACATGCTACCCTTTCTTGGGGCTGGCTATCCTAGCTGGGTCCAATAGTAGAGGGCCCCTCTGGTGGCGCCCATGGCCTCCGGCTGGCGATTCAGTGTCCTGCTGGACAAGGAGCAGTCCTTGGAGACCCGATCTTCATCCTTGGCCTCTGACTCTGCAGCTATAAGCAAATGTGACTAACCCTGCAGCTCCCTGAGTCAGCCCTGGAGAGCCTGCCCAGGCTGGGGGAAGGGTGGCCCCAGGGGACGCGGGCTGGCGGCCACTGCCATGGGGTGGGCTGGGCAGCGGGCAAGGATCAGGCGACACTTGGACCCACTGGCCAGCAGTGAATGCCACGTACCCTTCTGAGCGCTGGCCAAGGCCCTTGCTTCCCCTGCCTTTAAAGGGGCTGTGACCTTGGGGGTCAGGTGCATTTGCCCTGCTTCAGCTGGTTTGGATTTCAAGGCCACCGGCAGGTATTCTCTTCCCTATTTCTCAAACCAGAGTCACAAACCATCCGGCCACATCAAGATCCTTCCAAGTCACAGACAACCCGAACATCAGGGACTCCGGGCACAAGTTCCAGCCATCTATGGAGCCCCCGCTGCAGCATCCCAGCTCATCCCAACCGTCTCCGACCAGAGCCCCAGGCCAGCCTGAGCCGAGATGCCCTGAGCGCTGTGCCTCTGAGTTGAGGGAGCAGAGTGAGCAGCAGGGGAGCCCAGGACATGGGACAGCCCTTGGATTCCACCCAGCCCTGCAGCGGGAGGCTTGCCTCTAGACAGAGGTGCCTGTCACTGGGGGTTGCCCTGCAGAGACACGCCCCCAACCTCAGAGGACAGGGAGAGGGCATAAGATGACATTCAGGGTTCTTCGCTGTGCCTGGTCCTATAATGAGCTCTCACTATCACCCACCGTGATAGGAAGAGATGAAAAGCTAGATGAAGGGCCTTTGGCAAGAAGCTAAATTTCTTGCAATAAAAAACTGAATTGGGAGACCACAATGATTGCTGGAAGGCCTGCAGCTTGGCTTGGCTAAGTCCACAACAGGTGACACAGGAACTGCTAGAGTCTCCCCTTGAGGGTTACTGGGCCTGGCATAGCCGGACGTGGCAGCTTTATCTTGGACCCCCAAGGCTCAGAAAGAAGAATCCAGAGGAGTGGCAGAGCAGAGCCCCTTGGGGGGTGGGGTCCAGTGTCCTACAAAGATAGACCAGAGCTAGGACTGAGTGATAAGCTATGCTGCTTTATTGAATAGTTGTGGGATTAAGAAAGGGAAGGGAGAGAGGGGCTGCGATTATATTCCTATGAGGAGGTTGCAGGCTGGGCAGAGGGTATAAATGGTAGGGTCACTGGGTACTGGAGGACCTGGGGCTGCTTCTTCTCCTTTAATAGGCATGACCATGAGCAGGAATTCAAAAACGTACCCTTGCACCAGCATTTCCACTCATCAGCAGGTGTACCTTGCACTGTGCTGGCCCACAGTCCCCACAGCCCCATGCCCTGTGCACCCCATCTTACACACTGTGCTGCGTTCCACACTTGTTCCCAGGCTCAACTCAGGACTCCATGGTGCAGGTGGATCCTGGGCTGAGGGGAGAGTGGCCTCCGCAGCCCCCACCTTCCTATCCCTGCCCCACACAGAGTGTAGGACAAGGGGCAGGCTAAGGCGCAGCCAGGGCATCCTTGATGGCATTGGTGAGAGGGAAGCGTAGGTTCTGGCCACAGAATGAGCCGCGGAAGTCATCCAGGTCCAGCGCCCACACCATGGCCCCCGCCAACTGCCTGCTTTTCAGGTATTGCACCTGGGTAAAGGAACAGAGCAGGCAGGGCTTGGGTCCCTGGACCAGAGCAGTGTGTGTGTGTGATGGGTGATGTGTGGTGCGGCCCTCTCCAACCGGAGGAGGGAACAACAGGTGCTAAGACCCACGTACCGGTGACCCAGTCCCCACTGTTCAGGGGACTAGATTTGGGCCTCTTCCCTCTTTATCCTGGGGTTCGAGCTCTGGGAAGCCTACCTTCTGTCTGACACTCTCCAGGTCGTCGTACCCCACCCACTGGTTGCCCTTGGTGGCATAAGGGACCTGTTGGCCCAGGAGTCTGTGGACCGTGGCACCTTGGAGGAAGTCACAGATCTGAGAAGAGAACAGAGCAGGGATCATGTGGGGAGTGGCACCTGACTCAGCAGGTGGTGGGGAGAAGTCAGACCCTCCAGGTCTCCGACAGCCCCTCTCCCTGGCTTCTACTGGTTGGTGTAAAACAAGTGGGAATCCAGCATTCCTCTTTGCCACAGCCAAGGGGCTGTAAGGGGGTTCCTTACTGGCTTCCTCCCTCATATAGATTTGAGGACAAGTTCAGGGTCTCACAGAGGAACAGAGACTAGACTGAAACACAGAACCTGCCTCCTGGCCCTGGATCTTTCCCATGCTGGAAGACTCCACTTGGTGGCTGGGGCGGGCATGTGCCTGTATCTGCTGGAGATGGAGTGGCAGAGACCTCAGCGTGTCGTCTCTTTCTCAAGGGCGTGACGCCAACAGAGGATTGTTTTATTCCCAGAGGAGAAAAGTAGTATGAGGGCAGTCCCTTTCCCGGGGTGGTGTTGGTGGTGTTGGAGCTCTCATGGTCTCCTCTGGCTCCCTTACCTCATAGTAGGCGAGTATCCCCTCCTCCTTGGTGAACCGGCCGGGCAGCCCCAGTCCCAAGATGGGAACTCCAACGCCAGTCTCAGAGGAGGCCAGCGTGAAGCTCTTGCCAAAGGCAGGGATGCCCAGAAGCAGCTTATTGGCTGGGACCCCTCGTCTCATCACATAGCCCACAGTATAGTCCTGGATGGGGACAGGGCAGGGAGGAATGTGTGGGTGGGGTGGTATGGGCAAGGACCCCTGGGCTTCGACTCCGGGATGTGGGCACCCTGGCAAGTGGCAGAGCTTTGGGCACGCACAGCATTGCTGAATCTGTCAGGACTTGCATCCTCTTGACCCCGGAACAGGGGGCTGTGGTGTCCGGTGGTCCCACGCCAGGCTCCGTGGAAATCATAGGTCATGAGACTGATGAAATCCAGGTGTCTGGGGAGGAAGGGCAGAGCGGGAAATTAAAAAAGCCCTTGGCTGCACATCCAAGGCCCCAGCAGGATATGAGCTGGGGCAGGAGGCAGCTGATGCGCAAGCTGTTAAGCCAAGTCCCAGCGTTCCCAGTGAGCACCACCCTGGCTGCTGGCCCACCTACCATGGGCCACAAGGGCACTTGGGGTGAGAGTGGGTCCCTGTATCCTGGCCCAACATGCGTGTGGGAGCCGGCCTCCATCCCACCTGCTGCTCCCCTCCAGGATAAGCTGACCGATAGCAACATGGGAAGTTGCTGAGAGGAGGTGCGACAGGGGAACACAGGGACCAAAAAGCGATGGAAGCCAAAGACACGAGAGGGTGGGAGGAAGTGTCCTTCGGGGCTCGGGAGCAGTGGAGGCGGACTGCCCAGCACAAGCTTCTGCCACTGGGAAAATGGTGCAGAATGCCTTCACCACCCCCAAAGTCTGGACAAATACCAAGTCTTTGCCTCTCTAGGGTCCTAAAGAAGAGCCTAAGGTCACTGTTCCAGCTTGCAGCTTTCCCGGAATCCCTCTGGAGCCATCAGGCCACTGGGCTTCTGGCAGCCATTCTCAG